AATAATCACCTTTTTACCTGCAACACTCAATCCCTCATTATAATGTTTTTTCAAAATTGTAACCTTCCATACGAAATGGGACCTTTTTTTCTCTAGTATAACATGATTTGACTCTATAAACTTTATCTATTTCAGAGTCTAAATCTTGTTCCTCCATCTCTAAAAATTGTGCTAATGTAATAATAAATTTTATATAAAACATAACTTTCTGATACCTGAAGTGGTCCCCTGTTTTCATATTTGCTATGCTGCCTTGCTTTTGGACTCAAACTTCAGATAGCATGGTCAAAGATTAATTTCTGGGGAAAACATAAGTTCTCTACTGCAACTTAATTAGTTTTGAATCTAAATGTTTGTTTTCACGAGTGTTATAAAACTTTCTGAGATCTACCATTTCTGACTATAAAGTGGGGAGGATCATACAGTAGAGTCCTATTAGATAATATGCTAAAGAAATATTGCAGTGGTGGAGATTAATTTATAATCCTCAGACACATCATATGTGTCATATGATGATTGTAGAAAATACTAGAATTGCAGCATAAATAACTGCTTACAAAAGCAATAGTTCTATACTTATCAATAGGTATTAAGATATCACATAATTTATTCTAATGCAATATCTTTCACCAATCGCTCTTGTAGACAGCTGATTTGTGTAAATAATTAAATGTTAACCATGTCCTTTTGAATTGTTCATTACATTTTATGCTATCACAATGTGTTTAAGTGTGTTTGCCAGGAGAACCAGAATGTAATGGGGGGCACTTGGTAGGTATGGTCAGTTGGGAAGAGATCAAGGTGCTTAACCCCCACCCCCACGCCTTATATTTATTACATACTTTCTGATAGATTCCATTATCTTTTAGATGAATTTCCACTTTCTCAAATTGACTGGGGAAATACTAATAAAAATGACAGGATAAGCAAAGTTGTAGTTTAAATGAATAAAGAATATGTTAAGTGTTACTGCTCCAGTACTGCTCACTGATTCTCTCCTGAAGTTATTCACCCACCCTGGTTCAGTGTTACTAGGGAAACCATTGTTTCCATTGTAACATCTAGTACAGCCCTTAGATCCCTATTCTAGAGAACAGGTTCTCTCTTTGTGTTATAACATGTGTCATCATAATAATGGCAAAGCTGCAATTCGTGAAGTTTCTCAAATAGTACCTTTACTTATTATAGACCATTCCTGAGAACATTGGTGGTATGAAAGTTACTTGCAAAGGAAATGAGCTCCACCATAGTTCCAGTTAATGTTTACGTTAGTGCTGTAAGCTCTGTCCCCAGCTTAGTTTTTAAAAATAATATAAGAAATGGAGTGTAAAACAGGAACAAAAGCAAGTTTTGATGGGGAATTCTTGGCACCATCCTATATCCATTTCATATTGCTCTCAAGGGAGGAAGGGGGAGGCTGAGTTTGATCTTCCTTTGTAACTTGATATTATGATAAGTTTTCATGATCCCAGGAAATAAGTGAATTATGTTCTACATTTTTAAAACAATTATTTGCTAGTAATAAAAAGAATACGTCAACATATAATAGAAGCAGATTGAAATCTAAACCTCTCAATAATAATTGTAATTACTTCACTACTGAAGCAATACTACTGTATTATGGTAGTTAATGAAGTTTAATAGGCTGAAAGCAAGTTTTTTAACTGAATTATGAGGTAACTGATTAAAAAATGAACTTTTGGTAGCTTAGTTGTATCTAGAAAAGTTTTTAGATATTTTGCTGACTTGTATTTTGAGCATACAGATAAAGGCTAGGATTTGTTTGTTTGTTTTCTTTTAAATCTTCCAATCTCAGAATATTAAGAATTTGCCCCTTGTCCAAAGCCTATGGCAGAAAAAAAACTGGTTGTGGAAGATAGAGTTTTTAAAAATATACGTATTCAGCTGATTCACTTAAATTTCATGTTTTGAATGAAAAGCAGGCAAAAGTGACTACCCAACACATATAAAAAGGGGGTAAAGCTTCAGTTGCCTGTGGTCAACCCATATTCTTATGTTTTTTGACTCTTTACCACCACAGACATCCTACCACCTAAATAAATAGGAAAATAATTAGATGATCAGCTGGTAAAATATCAAACAGAGGTTTAAACTTTCATTCAGAAATTATACCCGTATAGTACTGCAGCTACTTTTCTGTTAAAGTATAGTTGATTTGTATTTATTGAACAAATAGTAGAGTTTACTTTTAGTAATTATCTGCATGTTGAAAATATATCAAACTTTTAAATGGGAGAAATCCTCCTCCTAAAGCTGAAAGATTATATACTTTCTTAAGACTAATTATTCCAATCCAAAATCTTCATGTAGAAGCCATGTCTTTTTATTTGAAATTATTTTAACAACGGCCTCTATTATTGAATGATAATTGTTTAAATAATAAAGCACTTGTTTTATAAAATATACATTTTAATGTGCATTATTAATATTTTTGTAATATTGCTTTAAGAAGCAATGGACATTTTTCCATCAAACATTTTTGTGGATTTAGAATTCTTAAGACATTTTGTTGGCAAGATTTGTTTTTTTAAGATACAAGTACTGTGAATGTGAGACTTTCTTTTATTGAGAAATTCATTTTTTTAAAAAAATGTAATTTTCCACTTTCTTTCAGAATGTTGGAAATATACCCATGACAGCTTGTGTGTGTGCTTTAAAATACTTGAATGATTATGGAGTAGAATAATTATTTTGGTAGGCCTGATGTACTTTATCATGCCAATTATCTGTGCCTTCAAAACAACGTAGAGTAACAGCTTGTCTTAGAACATACTGACTAAAATATGAAATATTATTAATGGAGAAATGGCAATAGCTTGATGTTATTACCAACATTCTTAGTTATATCTTCCTTTTTCAAGTGTGTACATGACACTTTTACTTGTATGTTGCTAATGAGGTCAACTGCTTTCTCTGCAACATTCGCATTACCACCAGCCTTTTGAATGACAAGAATAGTTATACAGAGCGTCGAACTCATAAAGGAAGAAGGTCCTATGAGGCGTAGGTTTTCTATAGGTGCTGGAGTTTCACTTCCTCCACGAACTGATGGCCGAAAGCTTGTCCGGAATGCTTCATTTGGAGGATGCAGTGAACTCTCACCAATCTTTCAAGGTTTGTTTTCTGTTTTTTATGTTGTCACAGAAGCTGTGTTGTATTAAAATCCTTTTACGGACAGTATTTTTTAGAAGCTTCTTACAAAGCTTCTTTTCTGAAGAAGCTTGATTGATGCTGAATAAAATAATTAAGATTTGGAAATAATAAACTATGGTTTGCATATGTTCTGATGTAGCAGGTTCTTTAAATAATTGTGTGTGGTATGTTGCAGACTGAACATAAGTTGTATTTAAAAGAAAGATAATTAAAGATGAACAATGTTTTTCTTATTTACAACTGTGAAGACCTTCCAACATATACTGTAACTATGTTTTTAAAAAGTGTATAGAACACTATATTCTTTATTGTTAATTCTGTTTGTTTCTGAAGCTGTCTGTATGTCTGCATGCCTCAGTTTTTAATGTAACCTCCATATTTAAGTAATAATTCAATGCAATATAATCAGTGTTTATAATCAGTAAATAAAATTACAGTTTTGTGTGGTTTCAAGCTAGCAGTCTTGATCAGTCTTTCAAAAATGTAAGGATACTACAGTTCATTTATTTAAACATTACAGTTTTTTGGCTATTTAAATGTATTCATTAGAGGTCTACATTTTTATCTTTTGTAGTTTATACTTTTATTCAACATGTGTGTGTAATCTTCTGAATATATGAAATAAAGGTTCTCATTCCCATATACAAGCAATAAAAAGCTTACGTAACAAAAGCAAGAATGATTAACAGAATTGTTTTTTTCCATTTATAATTGCAATAGCTGTTGTAGCAAAGTACTAATTCATCTATCTATAACACTGGTATTTTCCTAAGCATAATTTGGCTGTCTGATATCTGAACTAAATTTATATATTACATACTTTTCATTATGGTTTAGATACTTTAACAGATCTTGAAGGCCTAGGTTGTCTTGATGATTTACTGAGACCAGAGGTTGAATTATTCTGTTTCCAGGTGCTGTGAATCCACTTGTTGGTACTCTTAAATAGTGAAATTTGTTATGGCACTCAAACACCTTTCATATTAGAGACTACATCATGGCTTGGAATTATGTACAAACCAGGATAATCTGTTCTTTACATGTTGGCTGTATTATATGTGAAATAATAAAGCTACAGGTATTGAACCTAAACTTTAAATGAATGCCAGGGATCTTATTTATTTTATGTATTTATTTTTGAAATGTATAAGGGCACCCAACTCTACAATGACTTTGGTTGGTGTTATAAATATGCAAGGGATATCTGTTATATGAATATACACATGAATATAATTATGGACACTGGCTCTGACTGCTTTTCATTTGGTCCTGTAGAAGCTTCAATCCCCATTATTCAGAATTCTCTGCAGAATTTTCTAAACTTTTAGTGAATGGAAAATTTTTACCCAAGACATCTTCCAGAAATTTTTTAAAAATATAATAAATGAATGAATTACTATGAGAAATGTAGTTATTGACTCTGCCTTTTAGCCCAATAAATGGAAATATTTTAGTTTCTGTACACCTGATTTAACTTTGTACAACATATTTTGCTTCATCCTCCTTTGCAAGATGCATGTTCATATCTCTGGAGGCATATAGTAATACTGTACGTGTAAAAGCTACGTTGTCTGATCCTGTTGCTTTTTTTTTTAAAGTGGCCCAAGAGCCACTGCTCTGATGAGAAAGCACTGCCTTTTTAGAATCTGGGGTTAGTCTATCAAGCAAGCATCTGTGACAATTGTAAAATGGCAAAAACAAAGAACTGTGGATAATTTATATCACAGAATGTAAAATGCTGCTTGTTAGTCACAAATTCAATTATTCACTTTCCTTGATTTTTAAACTGGTTTTCTGACTAAACTTTGTTTTAATTAAAATCCTTATGATTATCTTAATCATTTATATAGTATATATGCTGCTATTCATTGCATGTTTCGTTTCAATATAGTTGTATTCATGTTATCAAATTCTGTTTCTGTAAGCTAAAATATACTTTCAGTCTGTTTGCCCTTCCTCTTGCACAAGGAACTGTACAGATTAGAAAGTTGTATTTAATCATAGCTTTCCATTATATCAGAACCAAGACAAGGTTCAGGAACATCCTTTAAACAATAGATGGCTACAGCTTCTTGACTTGCTTATAAGCTCTTAATAGTGTTTCCGGAGAGCCAGTGTAATGTAATGGTTAAGATTAGGGACTGGCACTGGGAAGACACAAGATCAAGCCTCACTCTGTGACTTGGGCAGTCACACTCTCTCAGCCCAATCTAACTCACAGGGCTGTTGTGGGGAAAAAATAGGAGGAGGAACACTGTCAGTACACCTTCAGCTTATCTGTGAAGGTGGGATGTACATCTAACAAATAAATAATACATGGTGCCTGCTTCAAAAACTGTTACGTGCAACTTCTTTATTTTACCAGTCTGATAAAATTGGGAGCAGTAGCAGAATGCAGATGCTTTACCAACTTATTAAAGCAGGATTTGATTCTTTGAATCAGCCTGTGAGTTATTGAAGTAGCTGCAAAGGCTTAGCCCTAGAGGGCAAAATGTCATTATTTGATAAAGAGATGATAGAATTGATAGCCACTGTTTATAATGGTTTCTGAAATTTGCAAATGAACTACTAGATGCAGTATTAAAAGATAAAAACAATAATTTGGGGGTAGGGGTTGATTCACACAATGTTAGTTTACTGCTAAACAATATGGGGGGGTATTAAAATTATTATGACACCATAGGGATATTTGAATGTTGCTTCTAATATGCTTAGACAGAATTTAATGATTCTGTCTTTCAAGAAAACATACTTGGTATTTACAATTTTATTCCATAAAAATTGTTGCAACCACATACATTTCTTTTAAAGGTTTTGATAGAGGGAAAGATGATGCTTCACAGAGTAAAGATGATTCTGCACAATCAATGTCAAAAAGCAAGGTAAGTACAATTACTGCACGATATCCAAAAGGAAAATGCCCAGTTTTTTTACCCTGCCAATTTGTATTTATTGATCCAAAATCAATGATTTGATCCAAAATCAAAAGTGGACTTAGTCGTAGCATGTGATACACTTACATGTATATACATATATCTATGTTGGTCTGCACACCCTGATCAAAAAAGGCACATCCAGGATACAAAATAAATTAGAATTTATATTTATTTCAAATGAATTTGTATGCTGTCTTGTCCTGAATTCATATGGTAGTTTATTGATTAAAAAGAAAATTTTCTATTTGTAAAATCAGTGGATTCTCTGTCTTCGTTTACACAGAGAAACTGTTCTCTGTCATCTACATATACATACCAAGTATGCATGTCATTATATACATCCCTCAGTAGAAACAAGCAAAGAAGTAAACAAAATGCTAATAGAACAAATGAAAGGAATAACAATTCTGGGTAAAGGAAGAGAAAGGGTTGGAGAAAGATGTGATGAAGAAAAGTTGAGGGAATGTGTATCTAACTAGTCCAGAATTAAAAGAAGAGAGAGTAGAATTATTAAATTCAGAAATAGCATATTCCTGTTAGATCTTTTTCATTTCCTTTCACGTGTAGAGGGTACCTGCAGTGAGAAGCAGGGGGGAGACATTGGTACCATCATCTCTCCCTCAAAGTAATACCTAGAAAAATACATGTACTCTATGTGTTTTACTAGAATTCTTACTCTCGGTGAGGCAGAATTGAGGACAAATGGCTTCTCCTCCAGTTCTTTATTCTAGCTATTTGCACCTAGATGTCTTGACTTCCTACCTGTCCCCTCATTTTCACTAGTATCTGCCTCTATTTAGTTAAAGGTAATGGGGGAGAGCAGCTGCTTATGGATATGTTCAGTATTATCTTAATCTTAAACATTGTTTATATTGCTACATTTAATTATTTCATTCAAATGAGTTATTTTTTTCAAAAGTTGTCTTATTCAAAATTCAAAAATTTGCATCTGTTAATCCATAGTAAATTGAATATTCTGCATTTCACAAGTAATTTTGTTAAATAGCAAGTTGAATTACATCTCTGTTTAGGTTACAGCAGAGAAGGTTTATTGGTAAGTTTGTACATAACTAAAGATAAATGTAGAAGTCATTTGATATAGAATGCTAAGGACTGTTCAGAAGTACTAGTTTTTCTTTAATGAGTTATAATTAGCTTCTCTAAAGTAAACGATGGATTTCTTATCTGAAATATATCTCATTTTCACACAAAGTTAAGCAAGTGGAAACATGACAGTTTTGGAATTGAGTTGTTGAAAATCACCATTATCTCTCTATTCCATTATTTTATTTAAAAAAAACTATGAACCTTGACAAATGTACAGAAGATGTTACGTTAATGATGATAGAAAACATTTTCATAGTTTTTTTCTGTAATTTATATTTTTAGTCAGAATCTAAGATATACAATGGATCAGAAAAGGACATCACTGCTTCCTCCCCCACTACCAAACTCACAAAGAAGGAGTCTCTTAAGGTGAGTTGTTTTCTGAAGTAGAATACCCAAATCTCTATCTTAAACTGTCCCATAACACCATTACTGGTAGATTTGGAAACTAGTATGTTGCTCTAGAAAAATATTATCATCTAGTTATGGCATATAAAAGTTGTATGATACAGTCTTAACCATTTTTTTCATTATAGAATCCTGGTAGTATATGAACTAGATTTGTAAGCCTGTGGATGGGATGTGTACCAATTTTATTCATGACATTTAATCTTGTGAGATCTGCAGTCTGAAGTCGTATCAGATATAACTTCTCCACGTCAACAGAGCCACAGACAAAGTTAATCATCATTTGTTCATGCTTAAGGAGGGAAATTCTATGGTTGGCTGCTAGTTTAGCCACAGAAGCCTGTAGTTTTAAGGGAACCAAATTTACCTAATCCTAACCCTAATTTACAAAAAGCACTCCATTTTCACTCTTAATATGAAATGATTGCATCCTCTGTCTACAGCTGTAGAAGCAATTGTTATAAGTCTCTTGCCTTTGTGTAGAACAATCACATAAATATAGTTGAGGTCTGTAGTTTTCCTTTGAATCCTGACTTCTTCTTTAAGTTTGGAAGGTTTTTTAGAAATATTTTAAAGTATTTCCTTTGTAATCTAATTGCTGGAATCATCTTCTATGAGATTAGATTTCATAGTTAAAAGAGGGATATCCCTTGATTAAAAAGGGGGAGTAAGAGGGACAGGCACACAGTGAAGTAGAACCAGCAGTAGGCTGGTGGTAGAGGCCACCTAAGGGGGCTTCTCAAAGTTGAAGAAGGTACTGCAACAAATTCTTGATAAATTCAAAATATACTTAAATTGTATGTACTTACAGATTCCTGATAAAACTGTAGGTAAACCTAAATGTTTACCTGAACCATTGAAAGCATATAGATTTCTCACCTTGAATTAACCATACTTTGGTGTCTGTGTAAATGGAGTTCTGTATTCTTGATGAGTTGTAAACATAGCTGAAAATTAAAACCACATGTTCTTTTATATGAAATTGCCTGGAAAAGTGTGTTTTAGTTCTTTTATTAGACATTTTTTTAAAACTAATCATTCTGTATTTTATTTTGAGCTGGACATATATTTTGGTTTTCAAATTGATTTGATTCACTAACTTATTTCCATTCATTTATTTTCTTATTTATCATTCATTGTTTCTATACAGGTTCAAAAAAAAAATTACAGGGAAGAAAAGAAAAGAGCCACAAAAGAATTACTTAGCACTATCACAGACCCATCAGTCATTGTTATGGCTGATTGGCTGAAGGGGAGAAACGGATCATTTATTTTCTTATTTATCATTCATTGTTTCTATACAGGTTCAAAAAAAAAATTACAGGGAAGAAAAGAAAAGAGCCACAAAAGAATTACTTAGCACTATCACAGACCCATCAGTCATTGTTATGGCTGATTGGCTGAAGGTGAGAAACGGAGATCAGTAAAAAGTTGTAACTGCTGATTGTTTTATCTACAAGAATACAAAAGAATTAAAATTAACTGCCACTGTTTACCACTAGCAGAGAATATATTAATTGTATCCCAGAGGCTTAATGTTCAATGCGTAGAAACCAAGGGGGATACTTACTTATTGCTTTAACATGGTTGTCATAGTTACAGCTATTCTACAGTGATTAATTGTGTTGATAATCTCTCTATGTTAAATATGATATGAACAAGAAGATATCCCCTTAATAACAAGAATCTGAATATCACTGATGTACTGAAACTGAAAAATAGTTTCCTTATTGCAAATTCTCTCTTTTTTTCTCTGTTCTACATGTTATGGCATAATACTGTATGATTTTCACTGTCTAAAAATCGTGATGGTATGAATAAGCAAGAGAAGATTGTGAACGCAATGTGGGGATCAGATAATCTAAGCTGTTTAATATTAATGCTTTTTGCATATCACAGAGATGTTAAGTAAGACTGATCAATGACATATTTAACCTGGGCTGTTATTATTCAAAGCATAATTTCCTATATAGACTAAAATCAAAAGGCTAGTTAAAACTTCTTTTTAAAAAAGTTACATTTCTATCCTACTCTTTCTTCAGATCACTCAGGGCCCCATTTCATTTCTACAGCAATACTCAGAATTAGAGTAAGAGAGAGAGATTTGCTGAGGGCAATCAACAGGGATTAGAGTTGCCAGGTATCTCAACAGGCAAAGGAAGACATGTATAATTGGAAAGCAGGGCTAATGGGGTGAAAAGAAGAACACACGCTGTTTAATATTTGTATTTACATTCATTGGAGAGGAAGGGATTACAAGTAAGTAAACAGGCACACAATGGGGAATACACATTGAGAGGAATGTGCTAGCACTGGCTAGTGTGCTCACAGCTAGGAGGCAAAAGCCTTCAGCGTGTTACTGATTAAGGTCTTCTCAATTTTAGTCAGAGCTTAGTTGACTTGCAGTTAGCACTTATTAGGGAATTGCTCTCCATGGAGAAAAGCTGCTCAGTTAGATATTAAAAAACCAGACTGGATGGAGGACATGTGGATAAAAAGGAGGATATGTCCTCCTTTTGCCGGATATCTAGTAATCCTAACTGAGATAAAATCAGGATTCACATTCACTCACTCTTCCATTAGTGGCCTGGCCTGGACTAGTATCAATTTCATCTCTTTTCAGGCATCAGAATTACCGAAGTACTTACATTTACATATTTAATATAACATAGTAACTTAAAGCTGAAATTTTAGATTCTAAGAATAAATTCCAGTGATGAGATTTACTTCTGTATAGAGATTAATAAGATTTAACTGAATTTCAGATCAGACAAAATTATCTGCATGTTAGATTTGATACTCATTAGTAACTTGACTTACTGGGCTATCAGAAACCAATATACAGAAAGTAAGATGTATTATATTTGGGGGTAGCTCTATGAGCATTGACTACTTGACTAGAATTTAAAATAATTTTACAATACTGAACTTGTTACATATTTTGTCAAATCAATTGTTTTTGCTTGGGAGTAAGAGACTGAAAAATACTAGAAATAATAATTACATATATTTTTCTATCTCCCCTTTTCTTTTTTTCTGGGAAGATTCGTGGTACATTGAAAAGTTGGACCAAACTTTGGTGTGTGTTGAAACCAGGAGTATTGCTAATTTATAAAACACCTAAAAATGGCCAGTGGGTAGGAACAGTTCTTCTGAATGCTTGTGAACTCATTGAGCGGCCTTCAAAAAAGGATGGATTCTGTTTCAAACTTTTCCATCCTTTGGAACAGTCTATCTGGGCTGTTAAGGTAAGCGAGTATGTATTCTTAATGGAGTTGGTGCCAACAGAATATTCACCAATGTCACACTAAAATTCTCTGCATCATTAATGAATTCAGAATGCTTTTCAGTTGTCATAAATTGGTCTAGCTTAGCTGTTCTTTCATAAAGGTGCCTGATCAGTCCAAAACTCTAAAAGTGCAGCTGTTCAGTTGCTTTGGATAGTTATTGTAGATTGAAAAGGACAGATCTGACTTTTTATGTATAGTTTTTTCAGCCCTTATTGAATCTTTGTATAAAAATAACAATGAGGCTTTACTTCTGTATTTTTTGCTAGTGTGAAAAGGCTTCCATTACAAACATTTTGGAATTGAAACTATGTATTTAAATTCCAGTTTTGTGCTATCATGTGTAGAATACCTGTTTTGCATGGTATAATAAGGAATATATGGGATGACCATTCATATTGAACTGTACAAATTTGCATTGTAAAAAGAAATAACACAGCTCTAAGATACATCTTGTAAAACAAAGTATTTGTAACAGTTAAACTGACACATTGAAATAAAAATGTCCTCAATATTTCATGGCTTTTGACATGCCTATAAAATGAGTTAATTTCTAAAAGACTCAAATCAGGTGATTTTTTTTTAAAAAAAACTCATATTTAGGTAAAAAAAATTGCTATGCTGGGCACAATGAAATCTTTACTGGAAAAATAAATGTACAAAATTCCTTTTTCAAAAAAGCCCCAAAAGGTAAAATTCACATTGTATAGATAATTTAAAACCTTCTATGCATAATTCAAAATTAGCTTCTATACTGAACATGGTTACATACTGTTAAAATGTGTAAGGCTGGCCAGTGTCAAGACTGCTTCCACTACAAAGAAAGATTGTATTTTACAACCAGTATTTATTTCTTCTAAATTCCTTCTCCAAACTGCTTCTGAAATATTATCAAAGACTGTAGAAATAAAAAAAAATCTGTTTGCTTAAATATTTTCAAAATAATTGCACAAAGTTTACACTCTCAATAAACTTTTTCACATGTCTATGTAAACTTGCATCAGCAAACATACATGACCAACATGGATATCTTGGAGTTTCCCTTTAAGCACATATGCATACATGATAGAGCATGCATTATATTTAGACATCGTTGAGAAATTAGCCCTCCAAAAATGTAGTTTATATCAGTTTTTTTTTATACTGTAAATATTTGTAGAAGAAAACAAACCAAAATCCTATTTATTAATACAGTTCTTCCTCCCAGCACTGGAACTGAGACAATTGTGATAAAGCAAGAAGAGATAGGGCAGGGCATTACAATTTATTGCTAGTAACAGTAAGTTTTATTGATTAGTGAAAAGACCACATCAAACTTAAAACACAATTACAGCTCACTGATAAGAAGCAAAATGGGTACTAGATAGTTCTTAGAACCAGAAACTCAAATTTCTTAAGTTTTAGAGGCTTAGAGCATTGGAGAATGCATAATGGTCAGGTTACAGGGGGGAAATATTAAAGCACAGAGAGAAGAGGAGCACCAAGGCCTTCAAACTATTAAACTTGGAAATCATAGTAAACAATGCCTTCTTAGGACTTATGGGTACCAGTTCAGCATTTACAATGGAACAGTCTACAAGGGCTGAAAGTCACCTGTGTACAGTGGCTTTCAATAATGCAGACAGTGATGGAGGACCAATAACATACTAAACTGAGGAAATCTCAGTGTCCCACATGAAGTGACATATATTTCAAAACTAGAATTTGCAATGGAGGATGATGAAGCAGTTAGTGAATAATTTAGCAAAAGTAATGCACACTTAGAAGCAAGGAGTTAAGACAAAAATATCAAGGAGAAAGTTTGGCCACGTTATTGGGTATATGAGACATTAGAGTAGTGCAACTGAGGAAAGGAAATCTCTGGGCATAAATATATGGCTTTGGTTCCAGAGTAAGAAAGAGATGGGGTGTATGTTAAAGATAGTTCTCCAGGAACAGACAATTTGCCAGACATATTGTGAAGGATTCCTAGAACCACTCAGTAGCATTTTAATACTGGGTCCAGTGGAAACTACTTGTTGTTTCTTGAAAGACACAAGTTACCAAGATCAATTATCACACATCAAAGATGTAGCAACTTGGCATATCCAAAATGTTTCAATAAGTTAGTTATTGAAGCTTTCCTTAGGTTCCTGGTTTCTTGGCTGAATTTGGACTTATTAATTCAGTATAACAAAAGCTGTCTGTGGGACAAATTAATAGAAGTTTTTGGAAAAAAAGATAACTGCTGACTTCTGTGGCAGTGAGAAAATGTTGAGATTATAACCTAATTTTCACCAAGGTTTTAAAGGGGCCAGTGTCAAGGTTACCTTATAGATTACTTATATGTTGAGGTGACTTGGAAGATATTCGCAGTTACCGAAGTCCTGTTGATGTTAATGCATATTAATTATAACTATTTAGTTAGGCTACAGAAATAATACAGTTTTATTATAGTAAAACAGGTAGCTAGCATACTGTCATGAGGATCTGTGTGTAGCTGTTGGGTTGTTTTATCAATGCAACCTTTCTCAGTACACAGTATATTAGTATCATGCCACCAAAATATTCAGATGAGATTGTATTGCATATATCACATAAGCAATAATTCTGCATTGTGACCAGATTTTAAGGATCTGTGGTCATATATTTTGTGTTATAGTATTGAAAGTTATATATTATACATCTTTCAAGTTAGTTTTAAAGCCCTTTTAATTCACAAGACTTTGATTCCACTCTTATTAAAAATGAAAGGGTTTTCTAATAATGTTAATCATGATCAGAAGTATCAGACCAGTTATTATTATTTTGTTTAATAGGAATATCTTAGTTTAGCAAATTATAGGACTCCAATCACAATCCATATGAATATAGTATATCTGTGAATATTCTTTACTATGAATGTCAGACAATTGTTAGCATTTCTTATTTTCATTGCATTAACCCATGATTCCAATTATGGCAAAATCATAGTTTGATTTTCAGAGTGCAAGACTTTCAGTGTTAAACTGCAGACAAGTATTGCTTTATTAAATTCCCATCAAACTAAAACTGCACATATTACACTTATATGATATTGTATCTATTTGGAAAACAAAATTGCCTCTTTCTGCTTATTGGACAGGAGATAGCAGAATTGCCTTTTGCAGCTATGATTTCTTTTCTATACATCCATAGTTATTGCTAGCACATTTTGTTTGTTTTTAAACCAAAACTGAATGCACTGTGTAGAGTTTCTTAAAGCCACCAAGTTAAAGGAGGAAGATATTTTTACAAGTACAAATGCTTTTGGGGATGCAATGAATGGGATGGTAAAGGTAAAAATGCTCTAAGGTTGAGCTCAACTCTTGGTAACTACATCCATATACTGTAATTCACCATTGCTTTTTTCCAGGATGTTTTTCGAATTCCCTGTCTAGCCAGCAGTCCCAAGCAGTTCATCTATGGAATTATTAATCTAAATATAACTCGTTTAGCATCGAAGAACATCCAAGGTTGGCTAGTACTGTCATCTGCTGAGCCAGGAAAAGGCCACTTGTAAGATCTAACATAGTGAAAGAGTATGTCTTCATTAGCTATTGCTTGCTGGTAGAAAATCTCATTTTAAAAAACATAGGAAATTTATGAATAGGTTAATGTAAGTTGATCTAAAATACAATTAAATTAATATTGTTTTGTATTTTAAGGGTCCTAAAGGAGAAGCTGTTGGCTCTATAACACAACCATTACCCAGTAGTTACTTAATCATTCGAGCAGCTTCAGAATCGGATGGTAAACATTTATTTTGTCTTTCATGATCAATTTTTAAAGTGAGGTTTCTTGAGCTATATACTATTGAGAATGGAATTTTAAAGTATTTAATCGTGTACATATTATGAACATTGTTTTAAGTTTTTCTAACTGATACGTTGTATTTCAAATGAAGCAGATAAACCATCATTCATTCCAACAAATTACTAGAATTGAGGGATGATAAAGGTAGCATACCAAATCAGTATTTGTATCCATGTTTTTCTTTTTCAAAATATCAAGAGTATGACAAAAAGATATTAAAAAGTTGTACAATATAGGCTAGTTAGATAATACATAGGCACAACCCAATATCTCCCCCTAACACAGAATCATTTTTAGGCAATTAGATATATATGGCTGTATCTTCCTGAGGCAATCTTATATTGTTGAACAGTTCTTATGATTAGGAATTTTTTCTAATGTCCAGCCAAAGTCTGCTTCCTTGTCATTTAAACCCATTGTTTCTTGTCCCATCTTCTAGAACAATTCTGCCCATCTTCTACCTGACAGTCCTTCAGGTGCTTGAACACAAATATCATGTCTTCCTTCGTTCTTTTCTTCTGTAGGCTAAGCATACCTTAATGCCTCCAATAATTCCTCATCACTTTTTACTTCCAGGTCTATTATCATCTTGATATACTTCATTTTCTCAGTAGTCTTCTTAAAATGTGGAGCCAGAACTAGATGTAAAGTTGAGTCTGACCAATCAGAATAAAAAAGAACGATTTTTGTTTCTTTGTTTCTTTGTTTCTTTGAAACTGCATTATAGTGTTTGGTCATAAGCAGCTCATGATTCACCAAGACATTCAGTATTCATCCTCCCTGCCCCATGAATCCTATACTCATGTCTTTGATTTTTACTAGGACTTTGCACTTGTCTCTGCTGAAATTTACTTTCCTAGTTTTTGCCCAGTGTTCAGCTTTTCAAGATCTTCATGAACCTTGATACTGTCTTCTAAAGTGATTGCAGTCCCCCTGCGTTTCTGCTATCTGCAAACTTGATAATTCTATTTTCTAACCATTTATGCAATTTATAAATATGTTGAATTGCATAGGGTGTAGAACAGAGTCCTGTGGAAGTTCACTTGACACTTCTCCAACTTGATGAGGGGTCATTGATATTAGATGCATCTGTTTAGGTCCATCTTAGGAAGAAAAATAAAACCAAGTAGGGATTACTCTGTCCTCTCTTTGTCACATGTTACTGTTCTACTATCATCCTCTCCAAGAAGTAAGCTCATCTCCACATTTTTCTTCATTTTACTATTGACATTGCCAGAAAAAGCACTTTTTGTTGCTTTTAGCTTTTCTTGCAAGTTCTTTGGTTTTTTAACATTCCTGCAGTATTAACTATTTGCTGGTAAATTACTTGGTGTTTATGTCCATCTTCCTTTTTTTCTGATTCATTATTTTATTGACAAATTGAATCTCTGTTTTCTGCTTCCACTTTAGTCTCATGTTTAATATATTTTATTATTTGCAAGCACAACCAAGAAAAGAAGAATGAAAAAAGACTAATTTCTGCATATATTCCATTTAATTTTTAGTTTAAGTTGAAAGCTTTCTACATATCCACAATGATTTCCTAAGCTCCCCTCCCCCTTTTTTTCTTCATTGGAATATTGTGTAATTGTACTTCTTATTTTTGAAAAGTTCCCACCTCTTCAGTGCTAACTTTGACTTGAGGATTTATCTCCATGGGATCCCACCTGCTACTCCTTAAAACTTGTTGAAATTGATTCTCCCGAGATCTAATATGCATATATGATTATGCTCCAATTTTTGTAATATCTCAATTCCCAGATGAGATCAGTACTTCCAAAGTCCCCTCTGTTTTTACTGTTCAGTGAGCTCTTCTCTTTTGGTTAGGATGATAGCTAGCAGACCTACCCCTGTGTCTGTTCTTCAGTTTTCTGCAAAATGAAACAGTCAACAAGACCACAGAGAAATCTTGGAGACCTTGTAATCTTAGTTGAATTAGTTTTCCAACAGATGCCTAGGTATCTTTTGGATACTATGTCTCTCCTCCCTGAAACTCTTATAATTTGGGCCAGGAGAGAATTATCAGACCTTCTACTTGGCTTGGCAGTCTACAGTACATCCTCTTGATACCCTACATAAATGTAATGTATACATACAATGGGTATGTGTATGTATTCATGTATAATTAATTCTTCTTTTGAGAAATGTGGAACACATTCACATGAGCCCTTCAAATCTTGATTTGCTCAAAATTTACTTCATTTATTATAAAGCCATTTGCTTTCCATAAATTTATTTATTTTTATTTATTTATCATATTTATATAGCCACCCATATCACATAAAAGTGACTTTGGGTGGCGTTCCTCTGTTCCTCTGAGATTAATAAATGTTCCTCTGATATTAAAATAATCATACCCACACAAAAAATGAAAGGTGATGTCCCATTTCAAAGCATCTCCCAGTTTAGAAAAGTTCTGAGAGGCTGAACTGTAAACAAATTCATTAAGAACTGAAGGAAATATTAAAAATTCAAAATCTACTTGACACATCAGAATTTAAATTGGTAGTGCCAAGCACTTAAATGTGAATTTTCTTGTCAAAATTGTGGAGGGTAAACAAATACCTTGAATTTGTGTGTTTAAAAAAATATTTTCTAGTATTAAGATGATATTTTTTAAAACTTTGTTTGGTATTGTACATAAAAGTGACACATACTTGAAATGCAAATTTCTCTGCTGTACTTTTCCTGTTTTGAATGTTGTACCCTAAAACATATTTATATTTAGGTAGATGTTGGATGGATGCATTGGAGCTAGCTTTGAAGTGTTCAAGTTTGCTCAAACGTACAATGATTAGAGAAGGTAAAGAACATGAACTGAATTTATCAGATAGTACACATGTTTCTTTCTATGGCCTGCTGCGTGCAAACAACGTTCACAGTACTGAAAGTTTCCCGTAAGTCCATAACGTTTGTTTATTTATTTATTTATGAAATCATAACTTGATCTTCATGGTTCACCTGAATCATCTTTTAAGGGTTCGGGGGATTTTTTGTTTGTTTGGTTTTTGTCTTCAACTTCTAAATTTTGAAGATTTTTGCTACAAAAATTATACGAAAATGGATTTTAACCCTACACCAAGGGTACAACTCCAGCTGTTTCTGTGTCCAAAGATTTTCCTATGCTACTATTTAATTTACTACACTTAATTTATACAGTCCATATTTTAGAATGTCCTCATGTATGATGTTTTATATGACTTCTACCCCTCTGGGTTGAGGGTAGGGAATTATTTTTAGTCAGTTTAATTCCTGTGGGGTATTTCTACTTACATGAACCACTAGGAGGCAATACATGACCAGCTTTGTCCTTATTTAGGACTCATCCAAATAATATCTTATGAGTCCCAAATAAGGACAAAAACCAGTCAGGTACTACTTCCTGATGGTCAGTCAGTATAAGTACTTAACTTATACCACTGCTATTTCCTATAGGTCTAAGCACTAACTTTATCTTGTTCTCTATCCTATGCTGATAACCTATAATTTTATACTTATTCGATAATATAACTATAGTTTCTTATGCTATACTAATTTCTTTATCCTTCCCAGGCAATCCTGTCTCAGAGTCACTTGCATTGTGCCAAATACATCTCTAATAATACCTCTTCTTCCATGATGGAGGAGAGAGCAAAATTGACACATATCACCAGGAGCTGACTGAATGAGGATGGAGGGGTTCCTCTACCTGAGATCTGCCTATGTGGCTTTTGGGATTTGGAGTAGTATACCAGCCTTATCAGCAAGATCAGGGAAGAGGCCTGGTGATGATATTCTATGAAAAATTGAGGATAGCCAAATATGTTGTTCCATAGATAGCCAGCAGTGAAGTACTATATTTGAAGTTGGTTTCCATGGACCAACTCTGTGTATTGATGATGTAGCTCACCTATCCCACCCCCTGCTAACCAGCAGGTTCCCTTCCTCAGCTCCTTGACCTCATAACTGAGCTGCAAGTGGACTCCTGCAGATTCTCTGTGTTGGAGGATCTCCACTCTTTGGGCATGTAGTCTGAGATAGATTGGGAATTAGGGCTGCTCTTGCCCCAAGCCATCATGGCACTGAAACATATTGGGGACAATACCTTAGATCTGTTTTTGGCCTCTGAGAAATTAATATATGATCCAAGGTGGAAGACATTAATGTCAATCCTTTGTCAGATCACTCACAGCCACCTTCTACTGACCTCTGCGTCAGGCAGAGACCCATTTACTGATGATGACATGCCATAGGTGTCCTACGGATTAAATTGGGGAGTTCCCTGCAGTCAGGTGGGGCATCTCCATTAGACACTTAGTCACATTCTGGAATACATAGGAAACAAAAGTATCGTTGGTAGCTTTTAGTAGCCTTGACCATTATGTCTTTTTGGAGTGCCTGTGTGAGGCTTATGGATCAGGAACACTATTCTTAAGTAGATCTGCTTTCTAAGTAGTTGGTTCCAATCAATGTTGGTGGGGAAGGAGAGGTAGAACCCTTGGATACTTCACTGTGGAGTGCTCCAGAGTTCAGCCCACTTCCCTATTCTCTTCAATGTGTGTGTGTTTTCTAGAATCTGGGGTGGGGTGGAATAGACTCAGACTGAATCCCAGCAAAACAGAATTGCTTTTAGTACAGGGGCACTAAGGTACCATTAATATGTGATTGATTGATTGATTGATTGATTGATTGATTGATTGATTGATTGACTGATTGACTGATTGACTGATTGATTGATCTGTGATTCTTGACAGGGTTGCACTTTACCTGAAAGAGCAGGTGATAGATCAAAGGATTCTCCTGGGCTCTCAGCTCTTGCTGGAATAGCAAGTACTAGTTGTGGCCAGCAGACTTTTGCTCTAGCTTTGGCTGTCTGCCAGTTGTGACCTCTTGGACCAGAAAGTCTTGTAGACAGTAACTCAATCTACAAGGGGCTTTCCTTGAAGATAATTTGAAAGCTACAGCTGAAACAGAATGTGGCTTCCTGACTGTTGACCAATGCTAACTAGTTTAGCAGAGTAACACCTCTGCTAAGGGAGTTGCATTGATGGCCACTAAGCTTCCAGGTCCATCTCAGAGTAGATAAAGCCTGTATAGTTTGGGTCCCTGCTGCCTTCAGGACCATCTTCTCCAATTGAAATTTGCCTGCCAACAGCCTTGAGGGAGAACTACAGGTCCCTAACTTGAGGGATGAGGGGACAGGGGTCTGGAGGATGGTGGCATTCTCAATAGCACAGCAGCTTGCCCCCTATTAAAATGGTGCTGTTCTGCAGAGCCTTTGATGTGGAGAGCACCAATTAAGTGGACAGTAGTGGTAGGTTTTTAGTTGAGGTTCTGATTGTAGTTACTATGATTTTATAATTAAAAGCTGCATGGAATCTTACAAGTAGATGACATAAAAATAAATACATGAATAGGTATAGCCTTGGCCATCAAAATGTTGCACAGCCATAATCTAAACTAAGACTGCAACTTTTGATATTATGGTATCTTTCCATGGTACCATGGAACGATTATTAGAATCGGAGGCACTATATGAAATAATTTCATTGTTCCCTGTATATTTCAGAAAATGATTCTAGGAATTTGTCTTACAGCATCCCACAGGCTTCAAGTTTGTTCCACATATTTTTTTTAACTTAAACTTAAACTTTCTTTTGAATTGTTTCTTTTCTTTTGAATTGTTTCTTTTGTTTTGGTAAACTCATAAAAAAATGAAGGGTGGATTAAAATTATGATAACACTTTAGAAACTAAGGTGAATAAACATGACTCAGAGTATATAAATAATAATTCACTATTTTTTTGCAAATAAATTATCAAGCAAATGCAAACAAACTTGGCCTACATTCAAGCACTCTCAGCTCACTATTTCAATCTGGACAACAGCAGTGATGATTGGTTGAGTTAACTCCGTGTCACAATGCAAGTACTTTCCAGTCATTTGAACTGCTACACTATACTTGTATCATTCAGTTCAAAGATAAATTATCACAGTGATTTTTTTAAATACCCTGTTCTGTCTATATAAATACTTCTATGTTAACTAATATTAATGTATTTTGGAAGAAATTATTTTGTTTACTAATTGATAAACTAAGGGCATTCTTAGGTAATACCTGTATATACTACATATATAATATAAATGAGTTTTGAACATCTCAGACTGGGAGTATAGCTTGTTTTCTTAAATCTTGGAAAGATTCGCTCCGTGAAATAAGGTATGGTGTAAATCTAAGAAAGAAAATCAGATTTGATTGCATTTAGGCAGTAGATTTTGCATTCTTTAGTATATTTATATATTCATTTAAATTGTAAAGTAAGATGCTGTAGAAAATAGAGATAAATATATAAACAAGATTGGAAAATAATATGAATTAAGTTCAGGGAATGTTGTAATTAAACTGAATTTATTAAATTGAATTGTAAGTCCTATTGATTTCATTGTGCTTAAATCTTTCCAATAAAATTAATTTATATGAAAAGTGCTTGATTTCATTGTGATGTTTACTAAACATATACATCCATTAACTAAATGTACAGCATAAAAGGTTACACAATCTCTTTTCAATAGGTTAAATGATAGTGAAATTGAAAGACATAATTTTAAAGATCCAGATATGTACTCTGATAAATCAGATAGAGAAAATGACCATGATCGTGATGAGTCAGATAATGATGGTTTGGGAGAAAGTGACACAGATACATCAGAGAGACAGGATGATTCATACATTGATCCTGAACCTGATCATGTAAAGGAAACAATTTACTTAGAAGAAGCTCATGAAGAACTCGGAGAGGTAACAAAAGTTGTATTTTAACTTCATAGTATTTGAATTATAAAATGGTTTGTTTCCCATTTTTATCCACTATTGTTATGTGGTATGTCCATTTTAGAACTTCAGGTAAAATTGATAGAATTATGGCTATGAGCATGGGAATTTTAATGGAAGAAGAACATTAAATTAATCTGAATATTAGAGTTGGTATGTTTTATCATTGGTATATTACCCTGTGGATTGGTACCCCATCCAAAATTTGGGGTTATCTTTGAACAGAATCTCTATTTCAATTTTATGAGATACCTAACTTATTATAGACCCAGTTCCACTCAGTGATTTACGTTATATTGATCATGGTTTTTGTTATTCATTTTTAGCTAAAATTCAGTAGTGATTCTTAGTCCCTTAACATGATATACGTAATATGTCTCATTATTGATAATTAATTAAAAATACAAAAAATAAGAATGAATTGTAGCGATGGCTGGGTAGAGTCGATGTAGTGCTTGAAAAAGTTTGATAAAGGTAGAGGTATTTCATTTAGGCTGTCAACATGGGGATTGATAGCCACAACTGAAATAAAACCAGGAATACAGGTAGTCGCTGAGTTAAGAACGCTCGGTTTACAAACAACCCATAGTTAAGAACAGAGCCTATTGTAGCAAAATTTGAGTTAAATACACAATAATTTGAGTGAAATACACAATGGTTTGAGTCAATTACACAATACTACTTATATTGTATTATACAATAATACTGTTCCAGCTTACATACAAATTCGATTTAAGGACAGACCTTGGG